AAGAAATCAATTTATGACTGTTTGTTTTCAACATAGCCTTATGCATGACTATAAATGGGAAGGTAAAGAAAATCTAGAAAAAGTTGTGGAGAGAATTATTATAGATTATTTTGAAGACACTGAGTTAGCCACTGAATTGAAAAAAGATTGAAAACTATGAAATCAAAGAACTCATATTTTTTCTCAAATAGAAGAAGGAGGTGAAATTTTTGGTCGACCAGCTAAGGATATAATTCTTAAAGACATTATCGAAAGTGGAATTGAAAAAATTAAGGACTTAGAAGCCAAGCAAAAAGAACTGGAGGAAAAAGTGGAAGAATTAGAGGAAAGAGTAGACATTGAAGTTGAAATGAACTTGAAAGTGCTAGACAAAGCTAAGGAATGAAGAGAAAGACAATTTGGTGAAAGGGAAGCAGAGTATACTGCCAAAGAGAAAGTACTTTTGAAACAAATAGAAATTTTAGAAAACAACATTCTTTGACTGAAAAATAAGGAACAAATAATTAAAAAATACGAAGATAAAGAACTTCCCACTTTGCCTAAACAACAAAAGCAGAACAGACTGATAAAACTCAAGAAATTAGTAAGTAAAGTTAAAGAAAAGAGTAAGGAGAAATTCCAAACTTTTATCGTTCAAAAGCACAAGTAATTATGAAACTAGAATATAGAGTTTTAGAGTTAGCGAAAGGGAAAGAATACGACTGTCATTATTGTTTTGTGGATTATGATGACCAAACCAACCTTGACTTTAGCACTGCTCCTGCTACTTATCAGATGATAGCACACTGTGAGACAGAGCAATACTTCGACATATCTTTTATTTGTAAAAACTGTAAAGTGGAATATGACAGTGGAGCTCTCCCAAGATGCAAAAAATGTGATAGGTTAAAAAGAAATAAGAGGTTTTGTTATTGCCATAAAGTAAAAGAGCAAACCCAATCTCTTACTGAAGAAGAAATAATTTCCCAATCTTTTAGTTATTGCCTAGAAAATAAAACTAGAGAACTAGAAAATGAACTATCAAATGCCAAGGAGGAGTTGAATATTGAAAGAGAAGAAGTAGTCAAGTTTCATGAAAAATCTAAGGAGTGAGGCAAACGACAAAAGCAAGAACTGTTAGAACGAATTAAGCAGTTAGAAGAAGAGAATGATAATCACAAAGAGGAAATCAAAAGGTTAAAGACTCAGTTAGAACAGTT